GTAAGAATTTTGACGGCTTCCCCACCCGATGGCTGCTCACAGGCGAAGTGCTGGTAACTTTAACTTTCTGGCCTGTATCATTGCAAGTTTTTTTTTTTCATCCAAAAGAATTAATGCATCAAAAGAGACTGGTTATCCCATTAGAGGGATCGAACATTTGACTTTTGCAATACAGCAGCGATAATTCCCGGTGCACAAAGCCACTAGCATTTCTACAGAATTAACTTCGAGAAAGATAGCACTGAAATAGTGAATTCTCGAAAATGCTTACTTCTTGTTCTCGACTCGCAAATTAATTTGCGGATTCGCGACTAAAACGTTCACAGAAGCCACGCTACCTCGTAACACAGCCGTATGAAGCGCTAAAATTTTACGCTTTTTAATAAAAACATAATTCTGCGAAATATGTTTCTTTTTAAAGATGCATGTAGAAATATTCAAAATCCGTGGCACTTACCCGGATGAAATTACCCGGAAAGGCAAATGGTGGGCAGACTAAGGTCCCGTTTCAACTCATTCCTATGGCTTTAACAAAAATTCTAGGCCATTTGGCATTACAGGACAGCTCCTTCACAGAAACAGGCATAAAGTTAACTAAGAACAAATATGAATGTGCCAACTAAGGAAAGCCAAAAACAGAATTCAGTTCCGGGACTGTTACTGAATGGAAGATTGAAAGCACATAAGACACACCAGGAATGGAAATAGATGTCTGGAAGTGTTAACGATCATAAATTATAACGTATAATGCCACATTCTACAAGGATTTGGGGCTGGAATGTTCTAATCCGTAAGGCGCCTTATCGTAGCCTACGAGTGAAATCGCTCAGGGAAAGATTGTGGCACTGGAAGAAGCGCACCAAGGACATCTTGAAACAGCTAAAGCCTTGCCAAATGCTGCTGCCGGAAGGGTCGTTCAGCTGCTAAATGGATTGCAGCTTCAGGCCAACCCTGGAAGTGCAGATGGAAGGATGCGCAAGTGCAGGAGACAGTAATGAAGGTTGGTGGAGAGAGTGAGATAAGACGTTTCGGTTCATTAAGTCATATACGTCTTAACACTGCGACTTGACCTCGTCAGTATGTGACAGTCGCAATGCTAATCTTTTCAGAAGACTTAACGAACACCACAAGACATTGACGCAGTAGGCAACTGGAAAAGTTGTCAACTGCATGGTTTAAACACAGGCTCATCCAAATATCTCAAGTTAGTAACCGAACAAATTTAATCGATAAAATGAGCTTACGGGTATTGCCAAGCTGATCGGTAAGATTCGGCTGCGCACCATTCTCCAGTAAAATCATACAGAGCGCTTCGTGATTGTTAAAAGCAGCAAGATGGAGAGGAGTGAAACCATCACCAGAAATCGCGTTCACATTAGCTCCAGCCAAAATCTGCAACAAACATCTGCATCGCGGCTTTGATTAGCCTGTTGCTCTACAACAGTAAAGCAAATCTGCACAGAAAGTTCAGCTGGCATTCGAAGTTGCTGAAATTGGAGCTACATCGTGTGATAATCGTAATTCGCACTTCTGATAGTCTTATAATTCACATCAACTTAAAACTGTCATTTAAGTTCTATCCTACAGTATACTTCTATGTTTCTATGCTACAGTATACTTCTATATTACAGTACACTTCAGCATACTTTTTTTTACAATATACTTCTAGAGCTGTGAACCTGGAAACTTTCCAGCAGCTCTGGCTAGTGATGCATCGCCTTGTAATTAGCTTAAAGTTCGCTTCGTCTCCTGAACAAATTACCACGCGGAGAGCGGTGAAAACAGATTACTAAAATATGCATTCGCACACGGGCAACGAAAATCTCATCAAAAAATTTTAGCTTCTCACCTAAAACAATTCCGGATATAAACACTCCCAGCAAAGCTAAATAGAGACGCGCATAACTTTTCTGATTATAAGAAAAGCCACGAAAAAAATCTTCAAACCAACCAAATTGCGCATGATAATTTCACTGCCACTTTGTGCGCTAATATGCAAAGCAGTGAGGTGAGATGCATTGTGTGTTGGACTGTTAACATCGGAATTAGCACTTATCAGGAAAAGTATCCATTCCAGATCAGCTGTTTTTACGGCCTTATGCAACAGCGTATCACCGTCCCTGTCAAACTGCAATTTAACCAATAAAACACTGATAAAAGTTGGAAAAAATTAATCACTGCTCAAATTAATCACTGTTAATCAGTGGTAAAAATAAATCGACATTTATATTATGTATCCCTAAACCGGCAAGGCATTTCACTGCGGTCCAAATTGAGATGATGATGCTTAAAACATATAAGGGATATATGGAATCCAGCTAAAGCCTGGCCAAGTTCTTCTGTCCAGAGAATCGATTTAATCTGGTAATCCTTTCAGAGGACGAAAGAAACGTCAAAATTGCTAGCAGGCCAATCATGAGACGCAGTATTGGTTAAAATAACTAGAAAAGCGGCCAGCTGCACAGACGAAAAATCAGAGTAAGAATTACAGCTAATTCAAATATTTAAATAAATTAAACAAATCTGCCTTGTCAAGGTAAGTATTTCATCGAATCTGTAAAAAGAATAATCTGTAAAAAACTCGAGGTTTAAAAAAACCTGTGTAACTAAGTCCGGCGCTTTTTTGATCAGAGCATCAGCAATTGGGTAGCTTTTTGCCATCCACGCTAGATGTAACGGTGTATTTCCATTACGATCGACAACCAAAAGAAGTGATGGATTACAGTTGCTCAAAATCACATTCAGAATTGCGCTATTTTGCATCTGAACAGCCAAATGAATACACGTACGTCCTTCCGCATCCTGCAATAGCCTCGTACACGTGGAAATAACTTAGTTCGATGCATAACCGAATCGATTGCCCCCGGCATGAAAGCCGAGGTCCCTATCACTTCTAGCTACTAACAGCCAAATTGCATAATAGTTGTAGCATATTTCTAATAAGATACCGCTTCCGCAGTCTGGCATACTTGATATCATCCAAGCAGTACACGCCAGTAAGAAAAGTTGGCCTGCATTAGTGGCGAGAATGAGAGACAACAGATGGGCAAGCTCGACCACTGGTATGCAACACGCAATGTAACGCACAGAGGAAAGACAGGCTATGAAGTGGATAAATCAGCCAGAACGGCTGTGTGGAATTATGTGAATGAGAAAGTTGCAAAACAGAGAAAGCCAGATAAGCAGCCAGTCAAATCAGTCGCAAAAGAAGGTACACAGCTAATTACAGCATTGTGATAAAAATGCCTTTTCAATGTCAACAAAATGTAGCGAATATAAATTATTGAAAAAAAAACAAAACTAAATATATCGAAGATATGTGAGAATTATAAATTTAGGATTAAATAGCAAATAATTTGGAGTGTTCTTCTCCCTTCTCAACTACGATACACCATGATACTATCAGAATGGTACCTGTTTATCGAGTCTAGCGCCACTCTCAACCAAGCATCGTGCAACATCGTAAAAGCCAGAACGAATACACGCTAACAGTGGTGTATCACCGCTGCTCTGATTATCACAGTCTTGTACCGGAGCATCAATATCACAACCCCTGCAGTAAAACTGAAAATTGAAAAGTTTTTGAAAAATATTTGTAAATTTATATTTTAATCTTACAAACCGAAGAAATCAAAAATCTGTCACGGTCCTCCAGTCGGTAAAGCCCAGCCCTTTATCTAGGAGTTCGGGATTAGGTAGTGATGCTCAACATACACTAATGACATTTCGGAGCGACTTGGCTCTGTCAATTGCCACTATCAGTGAAGTCACTGAGCTGACAATTCCATCAAAGGAAGGGAACGGCTCGGGATGGCCAGAAAGTTAAGCACTTGGTAAAGTAGCTTCGGTCAAAACCACCGGAAAAGCTGCCTAGGCAAATAGCTGGACAAGCAAGCTATGAAACGCATCTTGCCTATTTTATCCCAAATAATATTCCCT